ACAAAAGAAAATAAATAATCGAGGGACTAACAAAGTAATTCCTTATAATCGATATATCATTTTATAATTTTTAATAGTTAGAACAAAGCAACATCTTATAATCGAAAAATAATTTATTTAATTTACCTAATATATATATTTTTTGAAAATTAAAAATAAACAATATTTTGGACTGTTTTCTCTGATAAGGCTTGTTGAATCTGCTTCGGCCCAAATTCAACTTAAATCGGCAGCATCCATCTTTCTATAAGAAATCTTGACGTTTAAATTTCACGTCACAGTATACCACCAAACACTAAACCGCATTCTACAGCCAAATTTTCTGCAACTATGAAAGCAATAAATTCCCGAATTTCCCATTTTTTATCTTTATTTCACCAGAACATAGCAATGGTTTCTTCTTCATTTTCTTCTCAAGCACAGGCTCAGATACATTTCCCTCGAAAAACGTACATCAAACCAAACACCACTGACAATCTCATAACCCAATTACACAATTTATGCAACCAAAAACGCTTAAAAGAAGCCATTCAAGTCCTCGATCAAGTTGAAAAATCTCCAGCTTCTCTTTACTCAACTCTCATTCAGCTTTGCTGCCAGAACCGATCTCTTAACGATGGTAAAACTGTCCACAAACATATGAAAATTTCTGGGTTTTTACCTGGAGTTGTTATTTGTAACCGTCTTCTGGATATGTATGCAAAATGCGGAAGTTTGTCTGATGCCCAGAATCTTTTTGATGAAATGGGTGAAAGGGATTTGTGTTCTTGGAATACTTTGATATATGGATATGTCAGAATGGGAATGCTTAAAGAAGCAAAGAAATTGTTTGATGAAACGCCCGAAAGAGATAATTTCTCATGGACAGCGATGATTTCTGGTTACGTTCGTTTTGATAAGCCTAAAGAAGCTTTAGAGCTCTACAGGATGAAGGAAATGAGCTTGCTTTCGAAGTTGAATAAGTTTACCGTGTCAAGTGTGTTAGCTGCTTCTGCTGCTATGGGGTGCTTACTTATAGGGAAAGAGATTCATGGTCGAATAACTCGAGCTGGGTTGGATATGGATGACGTTGTTTGGAGTGCTTTAATGGATATGTATGGGAAATGTGGGAGCATAGCAGAAGCAAGGACGGTTTTCGATAAATTGGTGGATAGAGATATTGTTGCTTGGACTGCAATGATTGATAGGTATTTCATGGATGGGAGGCGAGCAGAAGGGTTTGAATTGTTTCGGCGGTTGATGGAATCAGGTATAAGACCTAATGAGTTTACGTTTGCTGGGGTTTTGAATGCATGTGCTGATGATGCTGCCGGGGAAATAGGCAAGCAGGTTCATGGATACATGACAAGGATTTATTTTAATCCTTTGTCTTTTGCTGCTAGTGCTCTTGTTCATATGTACTCCAAGTGTGGGAATGTTGAGAATGCAAAAAGGGTGTTTAATGGGATGCCTCAACCTGATTTAGTTTCGTGGACTTCTTTGATCAATGGTTATGCTCAGAATGGCCAGCCTGATGAAGCTTTGGAGTACTTTGACTTGTTGCTCAAATCAAATACGAAACTGGATCACATTACTTTTGTTGGGGTTCTTTCTGCTTGCACACATGCTGGATTGGTTGATAAAGGGCTAGAATATTTCCACTCAATAAAGGACATACATGGATTAACCCATACTGCTGATCATTATGCCTGTATAATTGACTTATTAGCCCGATCTGGCCGATTTTGGGAAGCAGAGAATATCATTAATAAGATGCCCATGAAACCAGATAAGTTTTTGTGGGCTTCCTTACTTGGCGGTTGTAGAATTCATGGTAACCTTGAATTGGCTGAAAAATCTGCTAAAGCATTGTTCGAGATAGAGCCTGAAAATCCGGCAACCTATGTTACTATGGCCAACATATATGCCACAGCTGGTAGGTGGGAGGAAGTTTCAAACATTAGGAAGTTAATGGATGACAAGGGAGTGGTAAAGAAGCCAGGTTTGAGCTGGATTGAGGTCAAGAGAGAGAGACATGTTTTCATAGTGGGAGATACTTCTCACCCAAAATCCAAGGAAATACACGAGTTCTTAGGTAAGCTTTCGAAGAGAATGAGGGAAGAAGGGTATGTTCCGGACACCAACTTTGTGCTGCATGATGTGGAGGAGGAGCAGAAGGAGCAAAACCTCTCATACCACAGTGAGAAGTTAGCCGTTGCGTTTGGAATTATTTCTACTTCTCCAGGAACACCAATCAAAGTTTTCAAGAATTTGAGAACATGTGTAGATTGTCATAATGCCATTAGATATATCTCGAAGATTGTTAACAGGAAAATAATTGTAAGAGATTCTAATCGGTTCCATTGCTTTGAAGGTGGGAACTGTTCTTGTGGAGATTATTGGTGATTTTGACAAAACTTCATCAGGCATTTTTAGCAATGCTGCTCGACTTCAATGTGATTATTGGCTGTGGAAAGTCCATCATCTGTACACTAGAATAGAAGATATTGGGTGGTGGCTGGTAAAGTATTCCAGCTTCATAAATACAGTGTATGATTGTTTACCTTGTTTTAAGTGGATACACCGTCTATCAATAAATCCTGTGCTGATTCGATAATGCTCATATTTGACTCATGAAACTCAATCAAATGTTTTCTTTTCATCTTTTCTTGGAACTTTGAACTGTTACCCAGAGGTAATAATACGTCCTCTTTTCTTTTCTAATCAAATCATATATAATTTATTAATGTTGCTTCCTCTTGAGTCTTGCCTAATCAAATCAATAAAAAAATTATAAAATTTTTTTTACTTCTCCTTTCACTTTCTTTCCTCTTGCTCAGTCTTCTCCTTCAGCATAGTGAGCAACAATTCAGTTGAATTGAATAAATCCAAATTGATTAAACATACATAATTCAATTAATTTATTTAGTTTAAATGACTTATTCCATTAGTTATTAATTTTGGATATTCAAATAAAATAAATTAATTAAACCAATTAATTGACATAATGCCAAAATTAGCCTCCAACGTCTACCAAAATGGTCATTTTGTCCCATATTCTATTTTTTTTGGCATTTTAGCCCTCAACGTTGCATTTTAGGTTAAATAAGGCTCCTATTTTAGAGCGTTAATCGTGTGTTAACTAATGATTTTCATTTATAGAGGAGCCCCAAAGTGAAATGTTGTGGGTCAAAATACTTCTAAAAAATAAAAAGAATAAAGGGTAAAATGACAATTTTGGTAAATGTTGAGGGCTATTTTTAGTATTATGCCTTAATTAAAGCGAATCTAAATTTATTGATGATAGTTGTCTAATTTACTAATGATATCAATTACAAAATTTTATTTATACTTATTTCATATGGAAAATTTTAATTATTAATATATATATATATATATATCCAAACTAAAAAAAAAAAATTGAGATTCACAAAATATAAATATCAACGGTGTGCTTTACAGAATACCAAAAAGAATGTAGTGGGATCGCTCATGGGGCAAAGCACATGCTGTGTGTTTAATTTTCTCTTACAAGATCTGTCATTGGGATCCATTCTTCATGTCAGTATTTAATCAACAATTGCTTTTATTAATAGTTGACTTTGCAAAATTTGATCTTTTTTCATACCAAAAAAACAATAATAAATAGAGATCTAGTAAGAGGTGATTAAGTCTTTTACACTAATCATTCATTAATAATAGATTTGACTCCAAGACACATGACTTGTGATTTCATCTCTATACAAGATATATATCATGAGAACAAATATTGAATAATTTCACTTCATTTTAAGTCAGCTCCAGCCTAGTGGCCAGTAGCATGCCCTTCTTCTATTATTTTCTTTTACAAAGGTTGATACTTTAAATATTTTTATGCATAAATAAGTCATTATCCTTTAATAAATATATTTGATTTATGTTTTTGTTAAGAGTCAACTAAATAAAAGTTTATTTTTTATAAACAATTTGTTTTTAAAAAAAAATAATAGGCATGTGATGTGTGATGTGTTCCAGCTGAGATTAATTCATTACTAACATAAATTCCCCCCCCCCCCCACATTTTAAGTCATTTAATTATGGACTATGGGGAGCCAAAAAATAAGAAAAATATGAAAAATTAATATAATATTCAAAGAATGCGTCACTTACAATGTTATGTGTCACATTAATACATATACTAAACCCAAAAAAATTCAAGAAAGTTCATAAAAATATCTTTAAATAAATCAAAAATATTAAAAAATCTTCAAAATACTTAATTTTTTTGAAATTTTAAAGAGTTTGAATGATTTTTTTTATATTAACACATATTATCTACCACATAACATTCTAGGTGATATATTCATAGAGTGTCACATGACTTTTTTTATAACGAAAAAATAGAACGGAATAACATGTTTCGTATAAAGAAAGCTTATAGATCAAACTGAATTAAAAAAAATATTAAATATCAAAATAATTCTTTTTTCTTTTCTCTAGATATACTATTTAATTAACTCCAACGTAAACAGTGTGCAATTAAAAGTCATCAACCATACATACATATATATAAAATGATGGCATCAATACAAGCTGTTAATTTAATTATATATTATTATATGCGTTACATAGAAGGTGAAGTTGATTAAATTCCCACGGTGAAATGATTATGATCCGTACTCGGCTCCGGTGCTCCCGTTTCTTTTAAGCCAAAGCCGCCCTTCCAAATTGAATGTTTACTTAAATATTCACAAAGAAATTCAATAGAGAAACAAACAGAACGAATAAAGAAATACTCCATGTTATGGATCTGCTGTTTTCATTTTTCGAGAAATTCTACACCAGTTCTTATGATCAACTTGGGGAATTGATTATCGGGAATATTTTCAGCGAAACTGAACATGGGTGATGAACAAGCTCATGGGATCTGAAGTTCGAGCATGAAGTGCGCCGCAATAAAGGTTTCCGCATGCATGGAGATACATGGCCATGCTGTCATTTGCGTGATCTTGTTGCATATATATAAGATAAAGTTTGTGTTCTTGTTTGCAGTACTCAACTCCACCAAGTCTCCTTTTTGTTCGAATCTTTAGGGTAACAAAAAGAGTAGAAAAAGGTTGAAGATGAAAAGAATGGAACAGCCCATTTTCCTGCAATTTTTACTTGGGATATTGGCTTGCTTTAGTATCTTATGTGCTAATGCAGAAGATCCATATCTATACTATACTTGGTTTGTCACGTATGGAACTCGAGCTCCTCTTGGTGTTTACCAACGGGTTTGTTTGTTTCTATAATCAACCAATAAACACCAGTTTCTTCTTTAGTCCTTTGAAGAACAATGTTGAAATACATGTTTGTTTGTTTGTTTGTTTTTACAATTTTTCAGGTTATTCTTATTAACAATCAATTTCCAGGACCTCCAATCGAAGGTGTCACTAACGACAACATCATTGTTAATGTCATCAACCAATTAGATGAACCCTTCCTCATTACATGGTTAGTCTGCAAATTTCTCAGCTTGTTTGGTTAATTTCATTGTTAATAACCCAGATTTTTGTTGTTGGAAATTAGGCATGGAATTAAGCAAAGGAAGACTTCATGGCAAGATGGTGTGCTTGGGACAAATTGTCCAATCCCTCCCCACTCAAACTGGACATACAAATTCCAGCTCAAGGATCAAATTGGAACCTACATGTACTACCCTTCAACTTCAATGCATAGAGCTATTGGTGGTTTTGGGGCTCTTAATATTAATCAAAGATCTGTCATTTCAATCCCCTACCCTGCATTTGCCGGAGATTTCACCTTGCTTGTTGGTGATTGGTACAAGGCTGGCGATAAGGTACATATATATATGTATATTGATCTGCAATGGCTCCAATCCAATTGTTAAACACTGTTGTTTAACCAAACACATTTTCACAGGCCTTGAGGAAGAAGCTGAATTCAGGCTTTAGTCTTCCTTTGCCAGATGGTCTTCTTATAAATGGTCTTCACAAATCTTCAGTTTTCACTGGTCAGAAAGGTAAATCATCATAATCAAGGCTTTCTTAGGCTTTAAACAAGAGGATTTTGTATAGGACTATGATGAGTTTTGCTTTGTTCCTGGTTTATTACAGGGAAAACTTACAAGTTTAGAATTACAAATGTCGGTATGTCGACATCGATTAACTTCAGGATCCAAGGTCACCAAATGATTCTAGTTGAAGTTGAAGGAAGTCATAGTTTGCAGGAGGAGTACGAGTCCCTCGATATTCATCCAGGTCAATCAGTATCTGTTTTGGTTACCTTGCGTGGGGCAATTAAGGACTATTACATTGTTGCTTCAACACGTTTCACTAAGCCTATTCTCACCACCACCGGCATCCTTCGGTATCAGGGCTCCAAAACTCCGGCTTCTTTGCCGTTGCCTATTGGCCCGACTTATCACGTTCACTGGTCCATGAAACAAGCCAGAACAATAAGGTAATCGAATTGACTTATTGCTGGTCATCATGTATCCTACAATATGCTAACAATGTTTTTTTTCTCATTTTGGTACTCTAGATTGAACTTGACGGCCAATGCAGCTAGGCCTAATCCTCAAGGATCATTCCACTATGGTTCAATAAAGATTGTGAGGACACTTGTTTTGGCTAATGCAAAAGCCAAGATAAATGGAAAGTTGCGTTATACTATTAACGGGATCTCTTATGTGGATCCAACAACTCCATTGAAGCTTGCGGATTGGTTTAACATCCCTGGTGTTTTTACCTTAAACAACATCAAGGATTTCCCTACTTCAAGGCCACCGGCGATGGCTGTATCTGTCTTTGGCCTCACCCTGCATGACTTTATCGAGATTGTCTTCCAAAACACTGAACCCACCATCCAGTCGTGGCATCTCGACGGAACGAGCTTCTACGTCGTCGGGTATGGTAGCGGAAAGTGGACAACCGACTCGAAGAGACGCTACAATCTGGCTGATGGGATAGCTAGACACACTGTTCAGGTATATCCGAATTCCTGGACAGCAATTTTGGTTTCATTGGACAACAAGGGAATGTGGAATTTGAGGTCACAAATATGGTCGGACCGGTTCCTAGGCAAGCAAACTTACCTCAGAGTTGGGAACAACGAGAAAAGCTTGTATACTGAGACCGACATTCCTCCAAATGCACTGCGTTGTGCCAAGGCCCTCCATTGATAGAACATAATGTGGCATTGCTGTAATTTTTATATTTTCTTCATCCTCTGTTAGTTTTATGACTCTTCCCCCTTCAATTTCAGTTACAAGGGTGTGACTGTTAGCATGAAAAATGGGGTTTAGGGTTCAAAAGAAGTTTTATTAAACTTGTTGTGCTTTCTAGATTACTCGGTGAAATTTTTCCTTATGGCATGGACGTGTTTACTGTATCCATATGATACTTGAGAAATAAGTTTGATGATAAAAGACAGACGCAAGATTTTATATTCGAAGTTAAAATAAAATTTTAATAATATGATTTTTTTAATTATATAAAAATTGAATTCGGTCTATCTCCGATCAGGGTTGCTTACGAAACTAAAAAAAATTCCGATCAAATCTTGAATTTGTATAAAAAGCAATAAATTAAGCAAATTTAATCCATCTCTCTATAACATTGAATGAAATCTTAAGAAAGAGAAAAGATAAGGGACTGAAAATGGTGTTTTTTCTTTTATAAAGAAGACAGTGAAAAGGAATAAAAACTGCAAGCCAATCTCAAGAGAAACAGGCAATTAGGAGCAGACACCTACTCTTTAAACATAAGGCTGCAATGGAATCCTCCTTTCCACCGCGAGAACTAAATTGTTGTTTACGAAAACTTTTCCCCATGGCTGCTTTATCAAACATATTATTTTCCTTTTAACAAAAAGACAGTTGTTTAATTAGAGAATCTTAAATCTCATATGCAACTCACCACTCGGTCTCTCTTATAATTTATGAAAATCATTAGAAAACCAAAAACCCTAACAGATTTCGATTTAAGCAAGGCAGTTTCCATGTTTATGTTTGCCTTTAACTAAATCACTGCTTTCATTAGTGTCTTGAGTCTTAAGTTGAAGTTAAACCCTTTTCATACCTGTAGTCAAAGATCACCATTTTTATCAACGTGGAACCTCTGAAAATAAAACTACCAACATTTTTTCCGTGGTTTTTACTTCGTCTTCGTCCTTGGTACGCTCTAATAAGTTAATCAAACACACACCTCAAACCACACTTCAAAGAGAAAATTTAAAAAATATATATATATACAGCCATATATATTCATATACCAAAAGGTAATGCAACAACATTGGCATATTAAAAAGCTGAGATAAAATAAAAGGGAAAGGCGAAGGTTTGTTACGGATATGCACCATTAGTTGTTGGGAGATCAGACCATGATGATGAAAATGCCGGATTCCAGTAACCCAATTCTCCACCCGCAATTGGAGCCGACTCCAGAACTGATGAAGAAGAACCCACATTGCTTAGAACTGCTGCCGAGCTATCGGGGTAATAGTTTGATGATGATTTCAGCCTCTGATAGAGTTCTTGAATCCCTGTGTTTTGAACTTCACCTAGTAGGAACGATCCATTATTATTATTGTTGTTATGTTGTTGCTGTTGAGCTTGGTGTTGATTGTTTCTCCACAAAGAGCTGCAAAGTCCGAGAGAAGGGACCTGGGAAAGAGGATCCAAGCCTAGGGTTCGAGCATTTAAAGCACCAGTACTGCTCCCAACTGCTGGCTCGTTCATGACATGTGATCCAAGAAAGCTCATCTCTTCCTTGATATTAGTAGACAATGTGTTAGAGTTAGGGTTTTGGGTAGTTCTAAATAAGTCTAGAAGATAAGAACTCTGTGGTGAAGCCCAAAGGATTGGACTAGATTGAAGCTCATTGTCGAACCCATTCCCATGACCAGATCTTCCAATATCCGACACTGGTGTTTTCATCTTAGCAGCACTCGATTTTCCCATCGTTGTCGAAACAGTGGTAGTGTTCTTGTTCTTCCTACACCCACCTCCAATAGGAACGTTCCTGAGAGCACCTCCTTTGGTCCAATACCGACGGCAAGTCTTGCAAAAGTGACGAGGCTGAGTGAGGTTGTAGTTGTTGTAATAACAAAACTTGGTGTTCGACGAATCACATCTGGGACACCTCAAATTCTGGCTCTGGTCGGTCTTTACAGCCGAAGCGGCGGAGTTATTAGTCGACGGTGAAGCCGTGGAAGAAGGAGAAGGCGATGGGGATGGGGATGGAAGAAGTAAGGGCAGTAGTACTAGTAGTACCATCCAAAATGGTTCCATTGATGGAGAATTTTCTCCCAGCAATACCACCATCTCCAAAATTAAACCCAGAAGTGCCTCCTAGGAGTTCTTGAATCATCTTTGTATATAGATCTACAACAATCCAAAAAAAGAAAAAGAAAAAACAGAAAAGCAAAGAAGCAGGTAAGTGTTTCTTTTTTCTGTTGAGTTTTTAGTGGCTTGAAAAAGAGATTAAGGTTTGTTGTCTTCAACTCATGCATGATCCATGACCATGAGGAGAGATTTGAAACATGACTTGCCTTTGTGATTTCACTTGAGCTGGCTTTGGCTTCGGCTTTTCTTTACTGCTTTTGGGTGCATAAGAATGACTTTGGGATGCTTTAATATTCCATCAATACTGAAGAGATAAAGAAGAGCTTATCCTTTTATTGTATATCTATCCCCATAGAATAAATAAAGCTAGTGAATTTTGGCTGTTAATAATGACCAGTTCTTGGAGGTTTTTACCTACATTTCCTAGTCTACCCTTTGACTCTCAAGTTATTCTTCAGTTATAATTAGGGAGGCTCGTAGATTGTATCATGTTTTTAATTCATTTGAACTCCAATCAAAACTTAAAAAACTTAAAATTTTCATTTGTAATTGATTTGATTCGGGTTTAAGAAAGATTTCACTCAACTCAAAATTCAACCTAATTTTTAAGGTAAAAGTTTATGTCCGATTCAATTCAATTCAATTCAATCCAATCCTACTCATATATATATATATAATTTATTTTTTATTAAACAAAATAATGATATAATTGAAAAAATAACATACATAAAGATATTATTATAATTATGTCTACATATTGATGAGTGTTATATGCTTGATAATTCTTTGATCTTATGGATTTATTACTATTGATTTAGTTGTATTGTGATTATTTTCATGCAAGAACTTATTTTCAAGAATTAGCAGTAAAAATTGTGCATTATGTATTTTTTTATTATTTGATCACGACTAGAGACATGAGCACGACACTGGGCATGACACGGTATGACGTGACAGTTTCTAGAAGGTCTAGTCAGCAACAGTTTTCTAGAAGATCTAGTCATCACCTTCTAGAAGGTGGACGGACAGAGATATCTTAGGAGATTTATTTTTAAATTTTAAAGTTTGAATTTGAAAACATTTGGAATTATCTTTAGGGTTATTTTCTTTTAATTTCTTTGTTTATATCTAGGATTTTAGAAGCTACAAATACCCTCTTAGGATAAGACTCAAAACACATTTGTTTTTAGATTTAGTAACTTTCGACGATTTTGGTTTTTATAAAAGTTTTGTTCTTCTTCTTTCGTTTTCATTTTTTATTTTTTTATTTTTCAAGCTTTATTTTTCAATATGCTAAGTATAAATTCTATCATATTTAGCTAATTTTCTCATAAGCCGAAAGGCTAATCGATGACTCAATTCAATATGTGAGAATTGAAAAGCACTTAATATCTTAAGGATGTTACTCTCACTTTCCTGAAAACTTTGATAGGTAATCGACCTATCCTATAAAATCAAAACACTTTCATTTAAAAAAGAGCTCGTTGGTTTGGATGTTGTTCGGATTTAAAGTTGGGAGAAAGATCGGCTTGTAGCATATCCGACTTCCTGTGAACACATTTAGAGACGGTCCGCTAAGGGAAATTGAGACCAGGTTCGATTCTCAGCGAGACAACATAATCGAGTCGGGTTTTTCTAAAACTAAAATTGTTTTTGTGGTAACGACGATTGTCGTAGTTGGTTCAATTAAAAGTTGGATTTCCAAAGATTGGTCTTGGGAAAATCGGTTACCAAAGTGAAAAGCAAGTTACAAAGACTGGGCCTTGTAGATTGTAACCGGTGTGAATCTTGAAGTGAAAATCCGTTTTCGATGATCTGAAACTAATTGAGTCAAAGCGAGGCTTGAGGATGCTTTTTACCATAAGTATTTTCAATCTTCTTAATTTTTGCCTTTAATTAGTTTTTTTATTCAATCTTTTTTATCAAACCCCTCTTTATTTAATTTACTACATATTGCATGGTCGTAACAATTCAAACCGAAATTTTTAGAATTTTTCAAGTCTTTGTGGATCGATTCTACTTCTCTCTACTACCCATTTCTTTCTTATATATTATTGAGAATGAAGAATTTATTTTGACAGCAAAACGACACTTGTCATATATATAAGAGATAATTATAATATTATATTGGGTCAGGTCATGTCAAAACGACACTTGTCATATATATATATAAGAGATAATTATAATATTATATTGGGTCAGGTCATGTCAATTTTTCACCATAAATTCTAACTCGATACAATTCACCCTTTAAAAAAGTCAAATCAACCCGAACTTAAATTTTTTTTAAAAAAAACTTGATTAAATACAAAATATATAAATACTTCGTTCCCTTGTGTTGCACGGTTTTTGGCCGCATGTCCCCATTAATACCGCATGTCCGTATTATTTAATTAGGTAAACCGCATCTAAAATAAATCCCTTGATACTGTGGGCGTTTTTGGTAATTAAAATTATCTACCACTCTTTGCTGCACTGTGTATTTAATAAAATAATATGGGTTTTGCTTAATGATAACTGTAATCAATTTCCCTTAATGAATAATCATTTATTGGGTCTTGGCTTGGAGTTGAACAAATCTGATAATTCTGAATCATCGTGCGGTATTATAAAATTGATAAATCAATGTTTTGAGCACAATTATTATGATAAACAAATAATAAAAACAAAACGCGATGATGAAACATAAATGATCAAAGGGGTGGGGGCAAGAGTATTGTGTTGTGTTGAATTGAAAAATCATGATTAGGGAAGGGCTAATGAGATGAAAGGACGTGTAAAGTGGGTGAGCACCATTAAGTAAAGCCACTAACCGAGACTCATGGCTTGAATTTTGC